GGACTAGACGGCCAGCGGTACGTCTGGGACTCGGCGCTGAGAAGAGCGGAGAGAAACGGTGCTTTCTGGTAAACCCCTGATTAAAAAATGGGTCGGATTCTGAGAAAGGCCCTTATGTCATCTGAATCCTGTCCTGTTGAGGAACACAGATAACGTTGTCTTGAAAACAAACAGTATCACATTAAAAGAAGAAAGAACAGCACTATCGATTTTTTTTTTTTTTTTTTTTACCTTCTATAGGGAAACGCTCCAAATTTCATTTGACTCCCGGGCTCAGAAGGAACATTCAACCAAAACCACAAATGAGCTTGGCCAGATAATAAACAAAAGGTGAAATCCGACAAAGGATCGGGATTGCTGAGATCAACCCTTATGCACATGAGGGGTTTTTTTAACCTTTTGCTAATTGTGTGTTAATTTGCTCTCTAGTCTTACGCTGCCACACTCCGCTTCAGAGCCTGCAGAGCTGCAAACATCAGCTGTGCCAACGAGGTCCTGCATTGATAGCAGACTCCGGAAAGTTTCCATTTCACTCCAAAACACTTTCTAGATTACAGCTTCACTTCCTCAAGGGAGTAACACTTCAAACTGACCTAAGCTGCTTCAGAAGGCGGCTCTGTAGCTGAACGCTCCTTACCAAAAACATTTTACTCCTTTCCGCCAGCTTTGTCCCAGGCCACGAGAGCTCTGGCGATGCAGAACAGCTCAGCTGGTGCGCACACTCGAAATGTGGTACTTGGCGTCATTTGGACGTTTACCCATTTTCAGTCATTTTCACTCGTGTTTATTGGGTATCGGCCTTTGTGCTTTTGAGTCTTTCACCTGACGAAGTAACTGTGTGAAGTATCATAATGACCAGATGAAACCATCTCTTACACAAATTAAGGACGCTAGTAAACAGGTAACGGGCACATCCTTCCGAAAAATACCCATCTATCACATTTTTGATCGCTGGGGAACACTTTATCATTTAACTGGAAATTTTCTGTTTCTTCCTTTTCATTGCAAAGAACAAATTTGAACACAACTTAGTTTATTCTTTATTCAGTCCTTACATTTTAATATAAATTCTTAATTAAACGCTCTCCAACCTTTCTACGTCCGTGGAGACTGCTTCTCAAACAAGCCTTGAAAAATATCGATCTCCCTTTGGAAAGTCAAGTTCCCTTTCTCGCAGTAACATTGGGTTTTGACCGGGTTATCAGCCAACGCTACGAACAAATTGTCCTTGATTAAACCATAGGCTACCTATTAGGATTCATATGACTCATATTTATTATACAACAGTCAACGGGCCTCACGTGGAGTGCGTCTCCGGCAGGGACGAAGTGCCTTTCCCGAGATACGTGCCCCGATCGCAGCACTTCTCCAACAGCTGGGTGACCTTGCCCAGCCTCCTGCAGTCTCCTTCACGTTCCTCTCCCCTCAGCACCTCGAGCCCGTCTCATCCGGCAACGCGAAGCTCTTCCCCATCCTAATGCAATCCTTAGCCCCGCTCATGTCTGTGGGAAAGTGGAAGTACGGGTGGAAAAATGAAGGCTGGTGTCGGGTAGAGGGTGACGGCACCGCAGCTTCCTCTGTCTCCCGCCGCTCAGGAACTTTCCCGTTTGATGCGAGGAAGACCTAACGCAGGTATTCAAGAGGGATTTGCTTTTATCTCTTGGTTCCGGCTTTGCCACCTGGAAAAAAAAGACGTTCTATGAATTTTTGGCACGTTGCTGAGGTCTGTACGTGCTGCCTCGGCACAGCGGTATCTCAGCCCATGGTAAGCGCTCTGTATGCATTATCTCACCTCCTCTGCTTCTCTGTCCTCTCTTCTCTTGCACTTCCATCAACTCTTATCCCCCATCTCCAGTTCTGCTACACCCTTACTGCCATTTACCTCGCCATGCTCACTTTGCCTCCATCCCTTTACCCATCACGGAAGTTTTAATTTAATTTTAATCTCTCACAGGGCTGGACTTACCAGGATTACGGCCAACAGAATTCCGAGTCACCCGGAACAACAGGCGTTTGAGTGCCCGTAACACCAGCTGCTACGCAGCACGAGACGGCCTGTGGAGAAAAGCGTGGCTTTGCAGCAGCTCTACTTCTTGTTAGATCTCCGCAAAACAGGGACGGCGGGAGGAGGCTGCCTGCGTGGGAGGCCCCGGCCGCGAGGCGTTGGCGAGGTCGTGACAAGGCAGAAACTGCTTCAAATCTCACCGTAAATCCAGCTCAAACCCGCTACGCCTGAATTTCAACCAGCTGCCTGCTCTGTAGGCGATGATAAGCTTTGTTGTAATGCCCTCTTTTTAACTCTTGTCATCATGATTAATCTCGCCTAATCTTTGTCTGGGGTTCTCTGGCTTTCCGCTTTTCGGAACGAGCCGGCGAAGACAAAAGTGTCCACACAGCAGCTGCTGCTCAGGGCTCACGTGGAGGCTTTGAATCGACGTACAGAAGAATGGCAGAGCTGCCCTCGCTGCTCCCTCCAAACCTTGACAGCCCCGATGGCTGGCTGGGCGACTGGTGGGGGGGAACACATGCTCGCAAGGAGGAGCAGCTCCTGCTTTACCGTCCCTGGGCTGAGCAGGGAAGCCGGCAAATCTGTTAGTCGCAGCGCTCAAGCTCAGGCAACGCTGCCAGCCATACCCAGGTTATTTGCTAGGAAGAGTCACGACGTATCAACACCACCAAATAATTCAGCAGACTGACAATTCTTCCAGGAAAGCATAAAACTCACTTAGAGTCAATTAGAAGGGAGGCAGGTGGGGGAAGGTACCAGAGCGTCAGGGCAGGCCCCGTGTGACAGGAACAGGTAGGATGCCAAGGCTCGAGCAGGCCATAGCTCGAGGAGAGCTACGCCGGCAGGCAAAGACGCGGTATTTATTAAAAAAAAAAATATATTATATAGTTATAAAATGCCGCCTCTCTGCACAGACACCTGAGACACAGGCTCAGCCCG